ATTAAGTAGGCAAGAAGGGCTGGGCACTTAGAATAGTTGGCTGGATGTGTGCTTTTATAATTTGCGCATAAGGGTGACGTCTCGAGTTTCTTAGTGCGTATTCTTGTATCATGTAGTCCCGCACACTTGACGCAGACTGCTTTTTGTTATAGTTAGCGGAAGAGTGTGACACCATGGGCTTGACAACAGAAACACGGGTGTTGAGCTTACGGGATTCGTATCTTTCTCAGTAGATCTTAGTGTTTTCTCTGTATCGAATGTGGTTGATTTGTAGAAGCGAGGTCCCAGATACGAAAGTCACTCTACCAGATATTTAGTATCTGATTTTCACACAATGGATGAAGGCCTTGATTTTTAATGCTGTCTACGATTCTGTTTTCGGGGAATTGTATCAGTCCTTTTACTACCATTGTCAGGATTTTCTCTGTGTGCAGTTATGGAACTCTATATTATCTTTTAGGCAGTTTGCCTTAAAATCTGTGTAACCATTAAGATTGGTGACTGTTATTTTTAATCTATTAGATGTTAGTTTAGCCTGGAAAGCATTCTGGTATTTGAGAGCGTCTAGGAATTTCAAGTGGTTGATTTTTTTGTGCACATAGATAAGTGGGGGTTTGGTGTTTTGGGGTTTTCTCGGTAGTGATTTGGTATTGGCTACAGTATTTGTGTTTGTGGGAGTGTCTGAAAACTGACTCTCTAGATGGAGTATGGGTGGCAATTTCGGCGGAATGGATTGGATTTAGTTCTTGGTTTTTTGTGCTTTCGGATATTCTGGATACGGGTAAACGTATCAGGCCTTTAAATACAGCTATTATGGTTTCTTTTCGAAATTGATCGTTTATGTATGATACTCAATGTTTTATTTTTGGCATATAATTTTGAACTCGGTGAATCCGCTGACTTTGTTGAACATTATCTTTAGTTTGTCAGAAAAGAGTTTGGCTTGAGAGATTTGCATTTTGGTATTTGTTTCTAAGCGCGTTTAGTAATTTTGCATGATTGACTTTTCCATGAATATATAACAGTAGTGGTTTAGTTGTCCGGCAATTTTTGTATGTCAGATTTGGTTTAGGCGTGGCGTTGATGATAGAGTCAGTGTTATTAGTTATGATTTCCCTATGTTTTTTCTCCATATCCTGGTCTTCGATAAGACAGTCAGCAAATATGCTGAATCTGTTTTGTGTTTATAGAATTACGGTTTCCATACCTTGGTTGAGCTGTGTGGCTGGTGTTGATTCTGATAATGATGAGGACCGTTTTCTAGTTGTAATGTTGAGTTCTATTGCCTACTTTCTTTTCGTTGGTGCCCATGAATTTGTTCTTTTCTGCGGGTACGCAGAACTGCTTTTCTCTGAATCTTTTTTGTTCATGGTTTTTTGGCCTGTTCTATTTGTTCTGGAGATCTGGTTTTTATGCGTTCTGTATTTTTTGATTGCAGTACGTGGAGTACGTGAATCAAATTCAATTCACTGTGCGATGCACGTGGTCGAGAGATGCATATGCACTTAGGAACATCACTGCTATGACCGAACTGCTGTTGGCAGCGCGCTGGAGTCGACCTTTATATAAGGTCACTCTAACTCTCTTCGCAACCTTTCCGATCACGATTATTGGGAAAGTAAATCATTTTCGGCATTTTTGGCAAAGATCAGTCCTATAAAGTAATTACTGCAATTACTTTATGGGTCTAACAGTACTGCGACCCGACGATGTGTCGCTCATTACGTTTATTGATTCTGATAGTAGGATCAAGGTCAGAGGAGCGCATCCTCTACATTAGTAAATTTTTTTTTGACTCCTAGTTTTCTTGCAATTTGTCCTAGTGGACATTGGGCAGGTTGTTATATTGGTTTTAATGGTTGCGTGTGAATGCTACTTCCATTGCAGTTTCACTAATGTGTGATTATATTTATGATTAAAAGATCCTGGATGCTTTTTCTTTAGTCTTCTTTTCGTGTTATCCATGTACTGAGTGTAAGCTAAGTGGTTTGGATGATTTTCTGTTTTTGTTTTATATCTATTAGATCTTCGTTAGATTTCTTCCCACACGGGGGGAATTTGTAAGTACTTGTGTAATTCTTTATTCTTGATGTATCAGAGTGCATTAACTGTTGTTCTAAGTACCATTGATTGCATAGCTTCCATCTTTATAATGCCATGTGAGATTCCATATAGATTTTATTATAACTTTATATATCAATAATTTGTTATCTATACTTAGTTTCGATTTTCGGCTAGTTAACCAGAACGTTTCTCTTCCTTTGTTTCGGATTTGTTGTATTCTTTTGCTTATATATTATTTCCATGTTAGTTTTAAATCTAGTGCAAAGTGACTACTTTTATTTGTGAGACAGCGTTGCCGTGCAATGTGATTTCTTCTCTGCATAGCGTAAAGGTGATGTGTTTGTATTTGTATAGTTCACTTTTATTTTCTTCTCTAAAAGCCATTTTTCTAACTTTTTTATATGATTTTGTAGGATTTCAATTTCAGCTCGGGTTTTGTGTGCAAATATTGCAGTATCTGCGAATGTATATATTGTACTATTGGGTATTATTGAAATATTTGCAGTAGAATGTAAAGCACAGATCCAAGCATGCTTTCTTGCGGCTTGCACTTCTGCATTTATGTATTGTATGCTAAAGAATAAATCTTTTATTTTCATATAAAATGTTCTCTTTGTAAGTAGAAGTATAGTAGCTCGTAGAATACGTCAGGAAAGTGATTTTTAATAAGTTTCAATAATTCTTCATGCTAGACTTTCTCTATATCCAGCAATAGAGATACGCAGTAGTTTTTATCTTCCAGAACATGGATAATTTAGTTGGTTAGCCTGTGTACCTGCTGATTAGGAATTACTTGTTTACTATTGATCATCTCTTTAATTCTGATTGGGAATATTTTTTTTAACTTTGTTGAGAGTATTGATATAACAAGACGAGTCTGTATAAAGAAAGTTCATGAATATTTTTCTGGTGTCGGCAGCATTATAATTTCAGCTAGCTTCCATGTGCTTGGAAAGTGTTGGATTCTGAATGTAGCATTGAATAATATTGTTATGAATTTGATCTAGCCTTGTCCCGTAGTTCTTTAATTATTTTTCCTGTGATCAGATCGAAACCTGAGATTTTGTTTGTTTTGGTTGTTGATAATATTACTTTTATTTCCAATTTGATGATTCATTGGTGCTATTTTGTTCAGCAGCTTCAGTGTAGTTGTTAATTATTATAGTTTATTTTGGCATAATATTTATCTAAGGTATTCTGCAAAGGTCATAACTTGCTCTGAGAGAGTTTTAGCCCAAGAGTTGTCTGGTTCTTTTATTTGCTGGAGTTGGAATTATACGTCTTTCTATTCTTTCTGTTATCTTCCATAGCGCGTAATTTGTCCTCCAATAGTGATAATATTCGATAAATATTTTTCCATTTCTTTGTTACGATAATCAAGGATAACTATTTCAATTTCCTTGGTAGAGTATATTTAGCTGTCGTTTGGATTCAGTTGTTTTGTATTTCTGCCATTGCGCCTTCGTTTTTCTTTTTTGCTTTATCTTTTGTAATATGTGATTTGGGTACTATAAGCTGTTTCCATACTTGTTAGTTTTAATTGTGGATGACTAGGTTGCTTCTTGAATCGTTAGAAATCGACTGCAATTTTTCCCAGTCGTATTGTTGGATAGAGTGGGGGCAGGCTCTATTTCGTAGATAATTGTAGGTGTATCATCAAAGTTCAAGTCCAGGCTTAATAATTAGAAGTGCGTCTTATTTAGACCTTTGATTACATAATCAAAGTGTTCAAGTGCAATTAGCATTTCAAATTTTCTATCTTGCCTTGTTGCGGACACTGTGTTGTTTGATCTCCAACGCATTTGACACAAACCGGTCGCTTGTTACAGAAGTTCTTTATATGGTCATACGATGGCAAGGAAAGCACTGTAGTACATCTCGTTTCGCTCTTGGCGGTTCAAACCTAAGTATTGTATTTAAGCTTTTTGATGTGTGTATATATATATATATATTTGTTATTATCCTTTAGTTTTAATTTAGTGGTAAATAGTGGTAACAGTTGTATCATACTTAGATATATTATTTATTGTTTTAACAATGTAATTGTGCTGCTCTCAGTTCACTAATGATTTTATTTGTATTTGTTTTAAAATTTGCATTTTTGCTTTATAATTCACTAATTATTTTGTTATAATTTTCAGGTGATTTGAGCTGTAATCTTACATGATTATCTTTTAGTTACTTGACTATCGTTTAGTTGGTAAGGTAAAGTTATCATTAT